CAAAGCCCCTGTTACCCCACAGGGGGTCAGCATCCCTCCCTCCCCACACTCACAGAGGGCTCCTCTGGGAACTCAGGGGGTGCCAGGCTAGCACAGAACCTCCAGCAGAAGTTATAAATGTGCATTTATTTATACATTAACCGTGGCTCGGACTGTGACATTAATTTAAAAACAGCCTATGATACAGAACACAGAGGGCAGCTGGGCGGGAGCAGGCAGGGAGTGAGGACGGTGGGGGGCAGTGGTGGTGCTGGTCAGGTCTCCTGGCTCTTGGCCTGCTTGGTGTACGTCTCCCGCACGTACTTCTTGTAGGCTGAGGAGAGACAGTGGACAGGAGGCTGAGGGTCCTGAAGCAGCCACAGGGCCAGGCAGGCAGTGCGACACAGCAGGACTGGGGGCTGTGCTGCTGCCCATCCCAGGGGAAAGGGGACAAGGCAGGGGCTCTGCTCTGGGCACTCACCGACTTGGTTCTTCCAGAGCTCAGCGGCGTGCGTGTTCAGGGGGCTATCAATGTTCGGCTCTAGGAAACAGGGGCTGGGTCAGCTCGTGGGGTAACCTGCACACCTCCAAGCCCCGGTCTGGGTGGGAGATCCCCACCAACACCCCACAACAGTGTGGCCACAGGACTCACCTGCCAGCAGGCTCTGTACAGAGAGCAGGATAGTGCGCACGTCGTAGAGCGCTGACCATTTTTCCTTGAGGATGTCGAGGCAGATGTTGCCCTGGGTGTCGACGTTGGGGTGGTAGCAGGGGGTCGCCCCGGGTGGGGGTAGCCGCTAGGGAACTCCAGCGACAGCTTGTACCGCAGCTCCTCGTAGGGCTGGGGGTGGGAGTCAGAGGGACAGGAGTCAGGGCACAGCCCCGTGGGAGGAGCGGGAGTTACGGGGGCCATGACCCCAGAGGTGGTGAGGAAGCCTCGGGGAAAGGGGAACAGAGGAGTGTGACCACCCTCGGTTGGAGGGAGGAGGATGGAGCAGGTCAGAGTCCCCCCAGCCCGGAATCCTGCCTCTCACCGTGCCGGCGGCGCCGTCAATGGTCCCGATCCACTTGAAGAGGTTGTCGGACTCGGGG